AAACTTCACTCAGAAAGTTAATTCCTAGTGGTTTCTAAGCGGCTCAAACTTTGCTTGACACAAATTGAGAGAAAGAGAGAGCCCGGAATTCATGTGTAGCATCTCGCGTGGTTAGAATGATCACTATTTGAGGGTCTGACCCTCCAAGTGGCTCTGGCTCATCTGTGCACCACAAGACTGTGTTAACCCTCTGAGCTAAATCCTACAAGAAATTGTGTTAGCCCACTGAGCTAAATCCCACAAGAATGTGTTAGCCCACTGAGCTATAGCCTAGAATTAACAATGTTTCAACCAAGCCAAACAGAGACCACCCTAACTCAGAAACACCAGAGGTCTGAGAACATGTGCTGTAATTAACAGATATCAATAATGGATGAGTCTACATCACAGAGTGGTTATGACAAGTGTCCTCCCATCATAGCCCACTGTAATGTTCCCATCATAGCCCACTGTAATGTTCCCATCCTATCATAGCCCACTGTAATGTTCCCATCATAGCCCACTGTAATGTTCCCATCATTGCCCACTGTAATGTTCCTATCATAGCCCACTGTAATGTTCCCATCATAGCCCACTGTAATGTTCCCATCATTGCCACTTACCCATCTAGCCCATGTAATGTTCCTATCATAGCCCACTGTAATGTTCCCATCATAGCCAATGTAATGTTCCATCATAGCCCACTGTAATGTTCCCATCATAGCCCACTGTAATGTTCCCATCATAGCCCACTGTAATGTTCCCATCATAGCCCACTGTAATGTTCCTATCATAGCCCACTGTAATGTTCCCATCATAGCCCACTGTAATGTTCCCATCATAGCCCACTGTAATGTTCCCATCATAGCCCACTGTAATGTTCCCATCATAGCCCACTGTAATGTTCCATCATAGCCCACTGTAATGTTCCATCATAGCCCACTGTAATGTTCCCATCATAGCCCACTGTAATGTTCCATCAAGCCCACTGTAATGTTCCATCATAGCCCACTGTAATGTTCCTATCATAGCCCAATGTAATGTTCCCATCATAGCCCACTGTAATGTTCCCATCATAGCCCACTGTAATGTTCCCATCATAGCCCACTGTAATGTTCCCATCATAGCCAACTGTAATGTTCCCATCATAGCCCACTGTAATGTTCCCATCATAGCCCACTGTAATGTTCTACATAGTCTCACGTAATGTTCCATATAGCCCACTGTAATGTTCCCATCATAGCCCACTGTAATGTTCCCATCATAGCCCACTGTAATGTTCCCATCATATCCCACTGTAATGTTCCCATCATAGCCCACTGTAATGTTCCCATCATAGCCCACTGTAATGTTCCCATATCATAGCCCACTGTAATGTTCCCATCATAGCCCACTGTAATGTTCCCATCATAGCCCACTGTAATGTTCCCATCATAGCCCACTGTAATGTTCCTATCATAGCCCACTGTAATGTTCCTATCATAGCCACTGTATGTTCCCATCATAGCCCACTGTAATGTTCCCCATCATAGCCCACTGTAAGTTCCCATCATAGCCCACTGTATAGTTTCCCATCATAGCCCACTGTAATGTTCCCATCATATCCCACTGTAATGTTCCCATCATAGCCCACTGTAATGTTCCATCATAGCCCACTGTAATGTTCCCATCATAGCCCACTGTAATGTTCCCATCATAGCCCACTGTAATGTTCCCATCATATCACACTGTAATGTTTCCCATCATAGCCCACTGTATGTTCCCCATCATAGCCCACTGTAATGTTCCCATCATAGCCCACTGTAATGTTCCCATCATAGCCCACTGTAATGTTCCCATCATAGCCCACTGTAATGTTCCCATCATAGCCCACTGTAATGTTCCCATCATATGCCCACTGTAATGTTCCCATCATAGCCCACTGTAATGTTCCCATCATAGCCCACTGTAATGTTCCCATCATAGCCCACGTAATGTTCCAATCATAGCCCACTGTAATGTCCCATCATAGCCCACTGTAATGTTCCCATCATAGCCCACTGTAATGTTCCCATCATATCCCCCACTGTAATGTTCCCATCATAGCCCTGTAATGTTCCCATCCTCGCCACTGTAAATGTTCCTATCACAGCCCACTGTAATGTTTCCATCATAGTAGCCCACTGTAATGTTCCCATCATAAGCCCCTGTAAATGTTGCCAATCATAGCCCCTGTAATTTTCCCATCATAGACCACTGTAATTTCCCATCAGAGACCATTGTAATGGTTTCCCATCATAGCCCTCTTTATGTTCCTATCATAGGCCACTGTAAGTTTCCTAGGATAAGCCCACTGTTATGTTCCCATCATAGCCCACGTGTAATGTTCCCATCTAAGCCCACTGTAATGTTCCCATCATACCCACTGTTAATGTTTCTATCATAGCCGCACTGTAATGTTCCTATCATAGCCCACGGTAATTTTCCCATCATAGCCCACTGTAATGTTCCCATCATAGCCCCTGTAATTTCCTATCATAGCTCCACTGTAATGACCCATCATAGCCCACTTAATGTTCCAACATAAACACTGTAATTGTTCCCATCATAGCCCACTGTATCATAGCCACTTGTATGTTCCCATCTAGCCCACTGGTAATGTTCCCATCATACGCCCACTGTAATGTTCCCATCATACCCACTGTAATGTTCCCATCATAGCCCACTGTAATGTTCCTTCATAGCCCACTGTAATGTTCCCTATATAGCCAACTGTAATGTTCCCATCATAGCCCCACTGTAATGTTCCCATCATAGCCCACTGTAATGTTTCCCGTTCATAGCCCACTGTAATGTTCCCATCATAGCCACTGTAATGTTCTCATCATAGCCCACTGTAATGTTCCCATCATAGCCCACTGTAATGTTCCCATCATAGCCCACTGTAATGTTCCCATCATAGCCCACTGTAAGTTCCCATCAATAGCCCACTGTAATGTTCCCATGCATAGCCCACGGTATGTTCCCATCATAGCCCACTGTAATGTTCCATCATAGCCCACTGTAATGTTCCCATCATAGCCCACTGATGTTCCATCATAGCCCACGTTAATGTTCCCATCATAGCCCCACTGTAATGTTCCCATCATAGCCCACTGTATGTTCCCATCATAGCCCACTGTAATGTTCCCATCATAGCCCCATGTAATGTTCCATCATAGCCCACTGTAATGTTCCCATCATGCCCACTGTAATGTTCCCATCATAGCCCACTGTAATGTTCCCATAATATGCCCACTGTAATGTTCCCATCATAGCCCACTGTAATGTTCCCATCATACCCACTGTAATGTTCCCATCATAGCCCACTGTAATGTTCCCATCATATGCCCAACCACTGTAATGTTCCCATCATAGCCCACTGTAATGTTCCCAGCCCACTGTAATTTCCATCATAGCCCACTGTAATGTTCCCATCATAGCCCACTGTAATGTTCCCATCATAGCACCACTGTAGTTCCCATCATAGCCCACTGTAATGTTCCCATATAGCCCACTGTAATGTTCCCATCATAGCCCACTGTAATGTTCCCATCATAGCCCACTGTAATGTTCCCATCATAGCCCACTGTAATGTTCCCATCATAGCACACTGTAATGTTCCCATCATAGCCCACTGTAATGTTCCCATCATAGCCCACTGTAGTGTTCCCATCATAGCCCACTGTAATGTTCCCATCATAGCCCACTGTAATGTTCCCATCATAGCCCACTGTAATGTTCCCATCATATCCCACTGTAATGTTCCCATCATATCCCACTGTAATGTTCCCATCATATCCCACTGTAATGTTCCCATCATATCCCACTGTAATGTTCCCATCATATCCCACTGTAATGTTCCCATCATAGCCCACTGTAATGTTCCCATCATAGCCCACTGTAATGTTCACATTGTAACAACAGTAAGCCTCACAGCAAGGCAATCAAAGTAATATTATATTGTCCACATACACTTAGATCAGTCCAGGAGCAATAATAACCTCTAGGATCTCCATCCCTACAGGAAGAAAGATAGCCACACATCGCAGCCATGTACCACACAGCAAATATGCTTTACAAGAAATACACAAATGGACTATGTTGGAGGAGCAACATGACCACTATTCCTCCCTACAGGTCTGGGTACCTACAGCCTCGTGCCTCGCTGGCTGAATGGAACCTGCGCGCTGTGCTGTGGACTGACGTCACCCGTCCGCGTTTCCCCTCCAGACCAACTGGTTGGGTGGTAGACATCTCCAGCTCGGTGGTTGGGTGGTAGACATCTCCAGCTCGGTGGTTGGGTGGTAGACATCTCCAGCTCGCGCTGCTGCAGCCAGACAGAAGGCGGGGAGGAAAAGGAGCGAGCCTCCACGAGCACGGTAAGTCCCTAAATGAGCTTTTTGTTTTAGAAACATCAAATTCACTGTTACTTTTGATTGTGTATTAGTACATGGCACAACCATGATTGCGCACGAAACTGAAATATTATTATTGTTGAAAATGTATTTCTGCACTCTCAGTACTTTTTAAATAACATTTATAATTGTGGTCCTATTGCAGGTTATTATTCAAATAACAGTGCGTCCCCACTGGGCACACACTGGTTAAATCAACGTGGCTTCCATATAATTTGCAATAAAATTACTTTGGCTGGGAATATACGTTGAATTGACGTCTGTGCCTAGTGGATCTATTTGTGTAGGTTGGTGTTGTGTTTATCCAATCCATTATGATAAATGAGGGTGAAATTATGATATAATGTGTTGTGAGTAAACTATTAACGGCAGAAGAGGTTTGTTGTGATGTACTGCTTTTAATTTGTATTCAATATTTCTGTTCTCCATAGATTTCGTGATGCGTAAAACCAGACAGAGCCGACCTACACAGGAGCCAAAATGACACTTCACGACTGCCTGTTTTACCTCTAAACAAACATGCATCCTGAACGACGTGCTTTCCTCTATTCTTAGGTGAAATAATACATAAGAAAGACTTAGAAGATGGAGAACATATCTATCTCGAACACCCGAAGTGTATTTCCGGTGGTGTGTAACGACTCCATGGACTACTATTATCTGAGCGCGACTAACCGGACAGATCTGAACTGCACGCCCCAGTCCGAATTCTACTTTTACGCGGACCTCTACGTAGTCCTGCCGGTGATATATTCGGTAATATGCGCCGTGGGGTTAACGGGGAACACGGCCGTTATCTACGTCATCCTCAAAGCTCCCAAAATGAAGACGGTGACCAATATGTTTATCCTAAACTTGGCGATAGCCGACGACCTGTTTACCCTGGTCCTACCCATCAACATCGCCGAACACCTGCTCCACTACTGGCCCTTTGGAGAGGTGCTGTGTAAGATCATCCTGAGCATAGATCACTACAACATCTTCTCCAGTATCTATTTCCTAACGGTCATGAGTGTGGACCGGTATCTGGTCGTCCTGGCGACGGTGCGTTCCAAGCGTATGCCCTACCGCACCTACCGCGCTGCCAAGATAGTCAGCCTGTGCGTCTGGATCCTCGTGATTCTCATCGTGATGCCGTTCACCGTATTCGCCGGGGTGTACATCAGTCCCGACGACTTGGACCGGAAAAGCTGCGTCCTCAGCTTCCCCAGCCCGGAGAGTTTGTGGTTCAAGGCGAGCCGGATTTACACCCTGATCCTCGGCTTCGCCATCCCGGTGTCCACCATCTGTATTCTCTACACCATGATGCTGTACAAGCTGCGGAACATGCGCCTCAACTCCAACGCGAAGGCTCTGGACAAGGCTAAAAAGAAAGTGACTATTATGGTGTTTATAGTCCTAGCGGTGTGTCTGTTCTGTTGGACGGGGTTTCATCTCAGCACCGTAGTGGCTCTCACCACCGACCTGAGGACCACTCCGCTGCTCATCGGGTTATCCTACTTCATCACCAGCCTCAGCTACGCCAACTCTTGTCTGAACCCTTTTCTTTACGCCTTCCTGGATGACAGCTTCAGGAAAGCGTTCAAGAAGATGCTAGAATGTAGACGGGCGGGAATGCAGTAGCCTGCAGGATTAATGGATACATATGGTGAATATGGTATGTTAATATTGATGCCAATCAAAACAAACTATGATCATATGATTTATGTTTGCTTGAATCTTCATTATGGGGGCTTATCATTGTTGCCATTGTATGACTTCAATATTTTTTACATGGAACATATCATATGGAACATATCATATGGAATATATCATATGGAATCATATGGATTCTGGCAAGAATTGGAAGGGGGGTATTTATTTTCCATGGGTATTTGCCTCTTCCTCCTCCTGTCCTGAGAGGGCAGGTAGCCTACTCTGTAGTGAAGCTATGGGCCTTCAAAAGACAGTGATGTAACCTATACACTTTTGCTGTAAATACATAGTTGTTCTTCTGGCCTATGTCATTGTGAACCATAGACAAACTGGGTCAACTGGTGTACAGTCCCAATCTAGCTAACGATGTGAACTAATTCTACATTTCAGTCAGTCTATCTTATGGAGAATAATAATATCAACATATCTCCATGGTCAAGTTCAAGCTGAAGTTCAAGTAATCATTTGCGTTGACATGACACACTTTGAAAATGACTTTTAGCTTTTCCGATACCAAGAGAGTCCACATGTTACGTGTTCACAAGTAGCACTTATACACTGTATCGTACGGACAGAAATACATTGATTTTTTTTTTTATATCTGCTGACAAATAAAATATAAGCAACCAACTGTGTGGTTTATTTACAGGAGGGCTCTCATTCATAATGGACATTACAGAGCACAACTGTGTGGTCTCATGCCATATGACGGGTAGATCCAGCTGTGTGCATCAATACCAAATTAATCAAATCACAGTTTGTTCGTCACATGCACAGGATAAATGGTGCAAAGGGTCCAATGAAATGTTTACTTACAAGCTCTCAAAAGTGCAGTACAGTTTAAGAAAAAATATTCATAAATAATTAATTAAAAGTAGTAAAAAAATAGTGATGTAAATATATAGACAATAAGAAAATACCGTATACTATGAAATGTGCTTCATCAATTGAAATAATGGAATTATGGAATTAGATACAGTGGGGAGAACAAGTGTTTGATACACTGCCGATTTTGCAGGTTTTCCTACTTACAAAGCATGCAGAGGTCTGTAATTTTTATCACAGGTACACTTCAACTGTGAGAGACGGAATCTAAAACAAAAATCCAGAAAATCACATTGTATGATTTTTAAGTAATTAATTTGCATTTTATTGCATGACATAAGTATTTGATACATCAGAAAAGCAGAACTTAATATTTGGTACAGAAACCTTTGTTTGCAATTACAGAGATCATACGTTTCCTGTAGGTCTTGACCAGGTTTGCACACACTGCAGCAGGGATTTTGGCCCACTCCTCCATACAGACCTTCTCCAGATCCTTCAGGTTTCGGGGCTGTCGCTGGGCAATACGGACTTTCAGCTCCCTCCAAAGATTTTCTATTGGGTTCAGGTCTGGAGACTGGCTAGGCCACTCCAGGACCTTGAGATGCTTCTTACGGAGCCACTCCTTAGTTGCCCTGGCTGTGTGTTTCGGGTCGTTGTCATGCTGGAAGACCCAGCCACGACCCATCTTCAATGCTCTTACTGAGGGAAGGAGGTTGTTGGCCAAGATCTCGAGATACATGGCCCCATCCATCCTCCCCTCAATACGGTGCAGTCATCCTGTCCCCTTTGCAGAAAAGCATCCCCAAAGAATGATGTTTCCACCTCCATGCTTCACGGTTGGGATGGTGTTCTTGGGGTTGTACTCATTCTTCTTCTTCCTCCAAACACGGCGAGTGGAGTTTAGACCAAAAAGCTCTATTTTTGTCTCATCAGACCACATTACCTTCTCCCATTCCTCCTCTGGATCATCCAGATGGTCATTGGCAAACTTCAGACGGGCCTGGACATGCGCTGGCTTGAGCAGAGGGACCTTGCGTGCACTGCAGGATTTTAATCCATGACAGCGTGGTGTGTTACTAATGGTTTTCTTTGAGACTGTGGTCCCAGCTCTCTTCAGGTCATTGACCAGGTCCAGCCGTGTATTTCTGGGCTGATCCCTCACCTTCCTCATGATCATTGATGCCCCACGAGGTGAGATCTTGCATGGAGCCCCAGATTGAGGGCGATTGACCGTCATCTTGAACTTCTTCCATTTTCTAATAATTGCGCCAACAGTTGTTGCCTTCTCACCAAGCTGCTTGCCTATTGTCCTGTAGCCCATCCCAGCCTTGTGCAGGTCTACAATTGTATCCCTGATGTCCTTACACAGCTCTCTGGTCTTGGCCATTGTGGAGAGGTTGGAGTCTGTTTGATTGAATGTGTGGACAGGTGTCTTTTATACAGGTAACGAGTTCAAACAGGTGCAGTTAATACAGGTAATGAGTGGAGAACAGGAGGGCTTCTTAAAGAAAAACTAACAGGTCTGTGAGAGCCGGAATTCTTACTGGTTGGTAGGTGATCAAATACTTATGTCATGCAATAAAATGCAAATTAATTACTTAAAAATCATACAATGTGATTTTCTGGATTTTTGTTTTAGATTCCGTCTCTCACAGTTGAAGTGTACCTATGATAAAAATTACAGACCTCTACATGCTTTGTAAGTAGGAAAACCTGCAAAATCGGCAGTGTATCAAATACTTGTTCTCCCCACTGTATGGGCCAGAGAAACTGGAAGAGAGACACGAGCCGGGTACCGGCAACAACACCAAGACTTGGTCACCTGGTTGAAAAGAACGAGACATAGTTTTTACATCAAAGTGACATTTCATTTTCTTTTTGTGTGGAAGACAGATTTTTCTCTGGCTACAGCACAGGCGTCATGCAACCGCTCCCGGACTTGACTAACATAGTCTGGTACATTAGTAGAGGACCCAACTGAATCATCAGCCTTTTAGAGGCCCTCTCACTGTGTGACCAAAGATTAGCTCAGCTGGGCTAAACCCAAAAGACTCTTGTAAGGTCTAGCAAACAGCACATACGGCACCCCCTCATCCCAATCTTTTTCTGTGTCCATACAGTGTTTACGCAACATGGTATAGTCTATTTTCATCCTTTCAAAATGTCAGCAGTCATTACAGTAGAAGTACATTTATTCTTACACTTGACTTATTCATTGGATATTATCAATCATTGATTATCAATCATACAATGATTTATCTGCTGACCGTCACATAGACGTGCATACTAGAAATACAGTAATGTTCAAAAATATAAACGCAACATGCAACGATTTTCAACTACTTTACTGAGTTACAGTTCATATAAGGAAATCAGTCAATTTAAATAAATAAATTAGGCCTTAATCTATGGATTTCACATGACTGGGACAGGAGGCACAGCCATGGGTGGGCCTAGGAGGGCATAGGTCCCACCCACTGGGGAGACACGCCCAGCCAAACATAATTAGTTTTCATCAGCTGTCCGGATGGCTGGTCTCAGATGATTCCGCAGGTGAAGAAGCTGGATGTGGAGGTCCTGTGCTGGCGTGGTTACACGTGGTCTTCGGTTGTGAGGCCGGTTGGACATACTGACAAATTCTCTAAAATGACGTTGGAGGCAGCTTATTGTAGAGAAATTAACATTCAATTCTCTGGCAACAGCTCTGGTGGATATTCCTGCAGTCAGCATGCCAATTGCACGCTCCCTCAAAACTTGAGCCATCTGTGGCATTGTGTTGTGTGACAAAACGGCACATTTTAGAGTGGCCTTTTATTGTCCCCAACACAAGGTGCACCTGTGTAATGATCATGCTGTTTAATACTTTTCTTAATATTTCACACCTGTCAGGTGGATGGATTATCTCGGCAAAGGAGAAATGTTCACTAACAGGGACGTAAACAAATGAGACAAATAAGCTATTTTTTGTGCGTATGGAACATTTCTAGGATCTTTTATTTCAGCTCATGAAACAAGGGACCAACACTTTACACGTTGTTGTTATATTTTTTGTTCAGTATAAAATGTTACCAGGCAGTCGTTGTTCACTAAGCTAAATTATTTCTTAAAAATAAAATAAACAATCATGTCCAATGAGCCATTGTGCTAACCTAGATATCTCCAGAGTCATATGGTATATTTAGAGAGTTCGTCCATCTCTAGACATTCAGTTACATAACATGGTTTAAATAATAGAACATTGATTATGTTCCCCATGTAATGTTAATGGGGGGCTAACATGGCTGCCATAGAATGTTGTAGTGTCATGTAAATGCATCATAATGCAGAAACCTCAATGTCCCAACTCCGTACATCCATGGCTCTGGACAGCTCTATGTGAAGCTGGGCTGACCTACAAATGACCATTAATAGCGGTGTTATTTCTGAAAGCCATAACTGGTGAAACAGAGAGTAAAACCCGGCCTCTCCTCCCACCTACTCACTCTCTCTAATACACTGTTGTGAAAACACAGTTAAGCTTGGTATCATATGACACATTATTCAGTGGAACATATAAATGCAATCGCTCTCTCATGTTTGATAGGTTGGCAGGTAGCCTAGCGGTTAGTGTTGGGTCAGTAACTGAAAGGTCGCTGGTTTGAATACCTGAACCCACAAGGTGAAAAATCATTTGATCAACCCTTGAACAAGGCACTAACCCTAATTTGCTCCAGGGGCTATACTACCACGGGGTTGTCAAAGTCAATCCATGGAGGGCCGAGTGTCTGTGGAATTTTTTGTTTTTCCCTTTCAATTAAGACCTAGACAATAAGGTGAGGGGAGTTCCTTACTAATTAGTGACCTTAATTCATCAATCAAGTACAAGGGTGGAGCAAAAACCCGCAGACACTCGGCCCTCCGTGGAACGAGTTTGACATGTGGTGTAAAACAATACATTTCACTTCACCAATCCAGTGTATGTGACATAATTGTATTTTGTTATAACCGTTCCATTTCTTACATTCAAGCCAATATAATGAGGGATAGAGCGATACCTAGTCAGTTGTACTACTGAATGCATTCAACTGAACTGTTTCTTCTGCATTTAACCCAACCCCTCT